CAGAAGGGTTTAGCCAGCTTTTGTTTCCAAAACGGAGTCTTTAAAGAGTCATTCTTAAATACACAGCTAAAGTTTATTACCTTCCTTGAGAGTGTGTAGATATCCTCTATACAAAGGCCATGCACTGACCTCATCCTGGTCCCAGTGCTCCAGAAGGCTGCAGGTCACATGGTCTTGACTTGCAGAAAAGGGTGTCAGCGTTAGATATGCACCCACACTAGCTGCTCATTGTGCATCCAGATGCACCTGGAATTTGCATTTCTTGGAGATTCTCAGCCAGAACAGAGATAAAGAGCAAGGGCTGTGTAAGGAATTTTAACTACAGTCTCTAGCTGTGCAAGGCCTTGAGAGTTACCGATTTTGCAAGTTCATTGAGTGTTTTAGGAACTAAGTAGGTTTGGTACAGAATGTGGAGAATTCTGGTCAAGCAGTAGTGTAGAAGAGAAATCTGGAGTGCAACTCAGTCATTACGATGCTCTATGTTGCTTAAAGTACACAAACTCTTTTGATTCATGTGGGTATCTGCAATACTAGGTTTAGCCTGAGGCAGAAATCTCATCCTCCTGTTGTCCTGCAGTATAGATGAGGCTATAAAATCCTGTGAATCAGTATGTCACAATTTCCCATCAACAAGCTTCCCCCCACGACTTCTCCACCTTGCTGTTAACTTGTCAGTTTCTGAGATGGATTTCCAAGCCTGACCTTGACACGGGTGGAGGGGCAGGCATCAATGGTGAATGATTTCAGGAGGTAACAGATGCTTGGGGGTGACTATAATGTGTTCTAACTAAGTAATTGGTTAAAACATTCTAAAACATGGTTTACAGATTAGTGATTCCCCACTAACAAATTAGGTATTTTACATTTAATGAACTGTAATAATTTAATAAACTGTAATAATAACATTTATTGCACTGATTGAATTAACATGGTGCAAAATTGTCTTAAATTTCTATGCATCAAAAGAAAGGCAAATCCTGAAGACTCTTCCCAAAGATAGTATTCAAACTCCACAACAAGTGTTTGAAAATAAGCCTAGGTCTTCCTAAAACCCTGTATATTTTCCATGCAATGAGTAATGTCATCAAGATTTTCCCAAAACTGCTTACTGTATTTCACTATCTTTCGTTGTGCTTTTAAAGTCATCCAAGGTTTTATGTGCAGAGCAAAGATCCTTTGAAGTGCTTAGTCTGTTTTCCCCAGTTAGGATATGGTTAACACTTCAGGGTTGCTTCAACACAGAAACACAGACCATTACAGACCATTTTCTTTGCATCATCATCCTGACCACGAAGTGCCTACAATCTTGTGATGGCCGTGCTCATCAGTAGGTTCCTGCACTGATGACAGTCGATTAGAATGACAATATAACTCAATTTTTAAAAGTAAATATAATATTAAAATACACAGAAAAAATTTTTATCAAAAGACTTATTTCCCTTGGTTTTGTATATTCCAGGCTTGTATACTGGAAATTGCTATGGTAATTTAAGTATTAATGAAGTTATTAAATCACAAGGGCTGAAAGCTGAGCAATTTAAACATTCTTTATTCAGTGTATTTAATTCTTCCAGTTTGTGCAGATGGATTTAATTCCAAAGCCTAATGAGACAAAAAAAACAAAAAAAAAAAACAAAAAAAACCCACTCAGTTTCTTTTCCCTTATTAAGGATTAGAGCCATTATTCTGAAAATGTGGATTTTACTGCAAATCCATAACCACATTCAGGATAAATACAAAGTATGTACTGGGGTGGATTTACTGCTGAAGTAGTAGCATAAGTTTTACACTGAAAAAATACCCCACTATCATTAAAACTGGAATATTTTTATGTTAAAAGACATAAAAGAAATTGCCATTCACCTTAGCAACTTTTGGTACCCAAACCAAAAACCTTAGTTATTTTTAACATATCTTTAAAAGCTACTTGGCTAAATTAAAATAAAATAAAATACAGTGAAAATTTACTTAAAACCTGAACAAAATGTCTGAAGTAGACCATTTACTAAAATCCCACCTTTATTTTTTATATAACAAGTTAAAAAAAATTATTTTAGTGAGTATGGAAAGTAAGCCCTTAATTTTGAGTCAAATTAGTTTGTTGTCTAATTAGGCTGATTTCAATAGGAATTACAGCTACTTAAGCAGGGCTGAATGTGTGTCCAGGTACAGGTGGTAAGCACAGGGAGGAATGTGAAAAGATAATGGGTTTAGAGCTTTGTGTGTTGTGCAGATGTTCAGTTAGTACCAACTTTGATTCTGACCACCTTATTTTCTTTTGTTGATGACTTTTGTCCCTTTTGCTGAACAGCATGTAGATCTGCAAGTGGCGTGGAGGAAACAGCTTTGATGGTATTTCTATGCTGCTTGGACATCAGATTATATAGATCAAGAATGATGCACAAATAGTGGATTTCTCAAAAACACGTTGGATAAAAGATGCATTCAGGCAGAAATAGCCTAAAATACCTCCTTGTCAGGCTGATCTTGAGACGCTCATGTACAATACCAGAATTTACTTTCCTGCACTTCTCATTTATCACTTGATTAAAACCAAAGGATTTCTCAAAAACACAATCCCTTTTAGATTAGAGCAATTATCACCAAATTAGGCTCTTTTAAGAGAATTCACCACTAGACATTGTAATTTGTACATAGAAGTTTCTCTTTTCCAGCAATTTTATCATAGAAAAATATACACTGATCTCAATACAGCTCGGAGGAAAACACAGAATAATTTCTAGTCATGTTCAGTTTTATTTCAGAAAGCTGATTCTTCCACTGGTAGCAGATCACATAAAAGTTTATAACTCAGACCTTTAGACTCCCTGCCTGTGGCAGGAGGGGTTGGAACAAGATGTTTTTTAAAGCCCTTGCCAACTCCAACCATTCTTTGAATCTATGATTCTGCATATTACATTCATACATTATGTGGAATGGTGACAATTTTTTTCATCCATTCTTTCTTTTTCCAAGGCAAGTACATGTTTGAAGCATTGTTTTGTATCAGTGCAAAGACTGCAAGCTTCTTGTGAGGTCTTCTCTTCACTAGCTTCTACCTCTTTTTATTTAGTGCATGCTTCTTCTCAAAGGCCCAAATTTGATGCCACTTACACACACTTGGATCTCTTAAAATATTTTTCTACAGTGTGAACTGCAAATAGAATTTAGCTTATTTGTATATTAATGCCTTATTTATAAGTTGTTTTCCACTAAGATGACTGAGTCAACTACTCTGTACTTCACATATAAACTTAAAAGAAAACAAAATGGAGAGAAGCTGCCAGTGACCTTGTTTTTATTTAGGAGCACATAAAAAAAAAACTTATGCCACAGCTTTGGTTGACTGGAATGATACGCATACTTAAATTTTTACAGTATTTTCTTAAAAATGGTAAACAAGTGTACATTCAGTTGTGTGCAAGACCAACACTGTCAATAACACAATTACACTACAGAAAATGAAATGTTTTAAGTATATAGCTGTGAAACCCTTCATATTTTTGGTACTTAACCAGCATTTTTAGAATTAGTGTGCTGAACCCATTGCACGTGTGGTAAACACTGAAAAACTGGCCCTGTGTCAAAGTAAGTGTAATTAAGAATTGCACTGGCTCTGGAGATGAGGAAGAGCTCTATTTAAAAATATTACTCAGAAGCTACGACTTCTGCAACTTACATGTGAAAGGAATAATATAACTTGTAGTTTATTACGTCCATTACTAATAACCAGCCACTTGAACTTACAAAAGTGGACAATATTTTCATATATTTGGGATAATTATAATAATTCAGTATTTTTTCATGCCACGGATAGCAACAAGAACTGCTGAGTCTGGATGATTACTCTACATAAGCCAGTAACTCAAAGTTCCACTGACTTACTAATGCTTCTCACAGCTCTTATAAAATCTTTAATATACGGTTTGGGTTTTTTTGGTGTTTCTTTCTTTTTTTTTTTTTTGGGAGCTGTTGCCCACCACCTAGATTGCAAGGAGAGAAGTATGAAAATCCCCAGGCCATGATGAATCCTGAGTGTTTTGCAACAGTAAGCACTGCGGTCTGGTACACCATAGTCTCTTCTCTACTCTGAAGGGATGATAACAGAGCATAGATGGAAGATTTCCTATTTTTCATAATAAACTTACTAGAAGACTAGTTGTAACCATTTCTCTTTTTACAAAACCTGCTTTTTAATATCACCATTTTGTAGAAATGTATGGCAAAGCAGATGAAACTGTCTTTTTAGTAAACAACAGAAGGACATGATAAAAACATGTAAAAGAAAGTTTTATCTGCTGGATGATATACAGGTACCCGTATACAAGCATGTATACTAAACAACAAAAGAGAAAGTGTATTTGAATGTTACAGGTCTGATGTAAACACAGAATAAAAATAAGGAGAGTCAAAAGTGACAACACATTAACTCACTCCATCATGCCTAATTATTGCAGCATATATGATATAAAATAAGTAAAATGCAGAAAACATCTGCTTGACTTCAAAACCAGGCAAAAGAGATCTCTTTGGAAACACAGTTAAATTAAAAAAAAACTTCTAGCAAAGATGTGTGTTACATTTCAGTCTACAAAAGAAACTCAACAGGGAGATTATAAACTCCTGAAAATAGAAGTTTATAATGACAACAGGCAATGCCTTTATTACAGTGACATCAACGGAGCCACTGTAACACATACCACCGCACTGGTATTGTACAGGTTTACAGTAAATATTTGAAGACACTGAGAATGTTCATGTGCAGCATTTCCATTAAAGATGTGCAGTTCAAACTGATAAATAAATATTCCTGAAATGTTTTGAAAAATGAGAAAAGACATTTGACTTAAATATGTAGCGTGCACACTAGTTAACCACGTATAGATTCTTAGGTGCACTATGAACTACGGACGTGACTGGCTTTTGAAAGCTCAGTAATTTAGTTGAACTCTCACTCAAGAACAGTTTAAAAAGATGGTTCCATTTTTGTCTTATCAACTTCATTTCTTCTCAAAGAGAGTTCCACTACTAAGTTCCAGATCTAGCAAGGTCTCTTCAACAGTTAGCTTAACATTAGGTACATGAACAGAAGATCCAGAGGAAGCTGTGCAGATAAAGAAGAAAAGTGTTAGGTTATACACTTAAGAATATCCATGCTGAAAAGCATCAACACCAAGAAAAATGCAAGTTACCTAACACAGGAACCTACACAAAGCCACACTGCATCTAATGAAACAAGACATGCAATGGGATTTTGTTCTAGAGGCCCAGTGAACACCATAAGCTTCCAAAAGCAGACAGTGTAGCTCACCAATATTATATTCATACTGAATATATACTAGTGATTGAATACATCACTATGTTACTGGCAGCTTTAGTCAGAACCTGCTCACAGTGCTCTGTGGTAAATGTTCAGAAAACATCTTGGAAAACTCTGAAATTTAAAGAAATAAATTTCCTTTTCTTGATCTACTTGGAGAAAGCTGGAAATACTGTCACACTTCAAAACAAAACAAAAAACCCATGAATTTTCAGGCCACAGAAATTCTTTCAAACACTTCAGAGGATAAGAGAAAGAAACTATTAACACAGTTTTACTACTAAAACTAATTGTGCAACACTATTGAGTTCTCAGTGATCCATAAAGTGATCCCATTAATACAGACAGGAAATTTTAAGAAATAGCTGCCCTAAGAAATTATGTTTATATATATGTATATATGAAAGAAAGAATCCTACTGCTGGAAATAATGTAATCAAGTTAGCCTTTTGCCTCTGATAGAAGTTACTTACATAAGGTTGGTTTCTCTACTGCTAGCCTTTCAGGCAAAGTTTCAAGTGGTGTTGGTTGAATTTTTGCAGGGGTATATGTATTTAAAGGAATTTTTCTTCCTGAAACTGGAATCATATAAGTTGGAGAAGCTGAAAGGGGGGGGGGGGGGTGGTGGTGGTGGTGAGAATAAAAGATTATACACATCATTAATAATAAAAATACACTCACCTGAGCAAAATGTCAAAAAGTAGTAGTCACAGAACTGTGTATCTGTCCAGCAATACAGATGCTACAGTTACACAACCTGCAGCTCAGCCACTGATTTTTGACTCTAGTGTCAAAACTTCAGAGCATGAAAGACAAATCTAAGTATCTCCTTTTTACCTCATAAAGTTACACAAGAAATTCATGCTGCTAAGGCAGCTAAGCTGAATTTCAGTAACTAACAGCTGGCAAAAATCACTAGTGCTACTTCTCATAGGTTATGAGGGCTGCACTGGAATACGTATTTAGTCCCAAATGCCTTTGAAAAGTGCATACAGTACATTATTGTCCAGCCAACTTCCAAACGAAAAGCAGAAAAAAGGCTTGTAAAAGGCAACACTACTATGCTGAGGTTACTGACAGTACAATGGTACAGTATAAAGCAGGAAATACTGCATATTCTCAGTAAGAAGCATTCCCTGCAATTCAGCTAACAGTGTGGACAGTAGAGGTAAATTCTTAATGTGAGGAAATAAACCAATTATGATTTCATTGAACCCTTAATTTACTACCCCGGTCAACAGAGACATTACTTCAATTAGTTATAACGCTTATCTAGGCCACAAAAATGAAAATTATTGTTTATGCACATGTTTTATTTTTTTAAAGCAGTATTCTTAGTTTACGTGTTAGCTGTAAGATATTGGAAAGATTAACTAAACAGTATTTAACAGTTTAAAATGAACATAATTACAAATTAAAATCAGTACATGTCTCCTGTAGATTTTCCCTTGATGGAGCAGCAACAGAGGCAAGAAATTCATCCACCTGCTTCAGAGACAAGGAGTTGTGTAGAGTTTCCAAAGGGCAAATAGAAGGCACCATGGAATATAATTCAAAGCCTGAAAGAAAAATAATAAAAAACAGGGATTTCCAAACATAAGACACAATGTAAGCTATTGCACAGGCAAGTATCAATGTACAATAAAAAGTACTTTTTTTTAAATCAGCACATGCAGACATAGTACTCTTGAAATCACGGACACTAAGTTTTAAGAGTTGGAACAAAATGTGCCAATTTCCAGGGCATACTAAAATAAAGCTACCATGTAACATAAAATGGGATTCAAATCCCATGTACACATGAAGTCGTCTTCAAATATTACAACTGTGCTCTTTTCCCAAATCAGTTCACAAAAGGTAATTTTCCTCTAATACAAACTTAGTAAATTACTAAAAAAAGAATAGGCAGGAAATGATACTAATTATTCCACTCATTCTGAGATCTGGCACAGCACTAAATATGTAACTCATTCATGCAAGTAAAATAGGGTGGCTATGTTGTCAGCAGACAAGAGCTAAAAATGCTACAACTTCCAAAAACTGAATTTGTAGAGTTCACGTTCTATCATCTTCAGTATTCTGTGAAAACAAACTGTTGCCTTCAGTATCAAAGGAAAACCACTGTTAGCACTTTTGTACCTTGATGTTACATGTTTTAACTTTGTAAGACAGATTTACACCTACCTTCACACATTTAAAAACAGTACTTAAAGGACTAGAAGTTTCATGTATTAGAACAGGTAAGTATAGCAACTCAAAATCTAAAAACTTATTGGTCTTCACTTTTCTAAATTAGTACTGATCATACACCAACCATGCATATCCATATTACTAACATACTAAAAAAGCATTTAAACATCTCAGCAAAAAACCTGCAGCTCTTTAATGTGATGCAAGTCTGATAACTCAGTGAATAACTCTTCATCCAATTGCATTGCAGAAGAGGAAAATATGCCTATTAGTGCTTTCAACATACAGCTGTAACATTACAAATCTGCAATTCAGTATTGTAAATTTACAGTTGCCACATTTTTTTTTATAATATTTAAATGAAGAAACAATTGTGAATGAAATAAAGTTTAGAATTTCAGTTCAAGGCACATTTATTAGAGATAGCATTACGACTGTGAACTGTTCCCTCCCTAAAATTATAAGCATCGATATTCCTGTGATAACCAGTATTCCCCATTCACTTCCCATTTAGTGCTTTGCATAGAGAAGTAACTCAACAAAATTTGAAAACCCAAATATCTCTATATTTGGATCCATGTTGGCCATACTCAAATGTGAGGGACAGTCGCTTCAAATATAAAATCAACTGAAGTGTAGTTATGAGAGGTTCACTTGTATTACAAATAAAATGTTGCATTTCATGGAAGCTTGTTTTCATGTACGAAAGAAACACCACCACATACTTAATTTCTATTTTCCTATAAAGGCAGTTGCTAAGCTTCACTGTAAGCACTAAGATGTTCGGCATACATATTAATATCCTAAATAAGTAAGCATGCATGCAAAACGTAAACCCTTTCTTTGCATTATAGTAAAATAAAAGATTTCTCTTTACCCTTACAGAGAAGTCACTATCATTCGAATGAGAATTTATTTCTTTAAATTTGCAAAGAACGTAGTGGGATAATGTCAGGTTATCTTTTTTAATAGCTATTACTCTTATAGTGCAGCATTACAGAAAAGCAGAAATTTCAAAATACACCCATGCCCTTTAAGTAAAAAAAAAAAAAAAAAAGGGTGTGGGGGGAAATGTTTTCTTCTTTCAGGAACTTCCCTCCACGGGTTTTCATTCAGTTTTGACAATTCTGCTATCGGATAGCCATATCCCAGCATGTTGTTGTAGTATCTTTGCATCTAAAGGATATGACTTAAAAGATACCCTGGAAATCTACCTATGATGTTTTACTTGAATATTTTATGATAAATATTTTACAATCATATATGAGAAATAAATCTGAATTTCAATGATGAAGCCGCCTGACAGTATCCCTTTAAAAAAGCAATTTCCTGTAAACTGACAGCCTTTGAGCTTTGGCTGTGTTTATTCTTAAAGCACTGTTCCCATCAAAAGGGAAGACAATGAAAGGGTTAACGCAGCATCTCAAAAAGCCACCCTGCTGTCTTACATTTAAAAGCTATAGAGACATACCACTGGAGCCTAGAAATTCCACAGAGGAAATGGACCAGCACCTAAAGAGGTGTGGGTGTTCTGCACAGAGGCCCAGAAAATAAGGTAAAGCACTGTCAGAAGATACTTGTTTCATCATGTTCCTTGAACTAAAGATGGGGGAAGTAGTCTGAAATGAGTTAAGAGGGTGTGATAATAACACAGAAATAAGTAAAAACAGAATGAAAGGGACAAGGAGAATAAAAATGGTAGTCCAGAGGACAGACAAAACAACATCAATATGTTCTTATGTTAGTAAGGAACTCTTGGAAACCTGCAATATAATTAGGTTTCATCGGAGTTCATACAGCATGCATTAATCTTGTAAAAGATGTGTGGTAAAACTACTGTATTAAATGGATCAGAATAACCAATGCATTCATTAAAAGCAATTTAGATCCTTTTTTAAAGAATGCGGTCACAAACAGTGCTTAATGGAACAGAAAGTAATCCTCATTAGACACTGATACTCAAATGCATTTCTTACTTTCTGACTTCAGATGTTTTGGAAATACTACTTTTTGAGTACTACTACTTGGAGTCTAAAGATAAAAAAATAGACTCCTGTCTTCCCTATTAGGATACTAGAACTGGCCTTTTAGATCAAACATAGTCTTAACTCTATTTATTCAGCCTTACCATAGCAGTTTCCCTTCAAGAAACACTGCAGTGCAAAAGGTCACCACAGATTCCAAAAGAACTTAATAAAAGGACTACTTTGCCTCTCAGTAAAGCCAAACAAAAACTTAATGTCTTTTTTTTACCCTGTTTCTAAGCAAATGTGTTTTTAATCTAACATGAAAATACTGATGATTTCCACTGCAGTTTCAGTTAATAGCACTATCACTGTACTGAGCCCCCAGTCATGCACATTTTAAAACTGCCATTAAGAAATCTGGAAAAGCTGCATTAAGATCGGGTGGATGCTGAAGACAGAGTCTAGTTTTCATGAACAGGCCTATTTAATCACATAGAAAGACAGGCACGAAATATTTTGCTGAGGAAGAGAAAGAAATACCTCTGTCCTACATGTTAAATCAGGCTTCTTTTTGTAACTAACGTAGACTGAAGACAAGTTAACTCTCACTCTTGAAGATCAAGAGGCCAATGTAAGCAAGAGGCAGCTCTCTCGCTGTAATTTTTAGTGCAATATTTAAGTAACTTGCACATCTGATGAGCAGAGAAGTATGACACGGTAAATTTTTGTCCGATGATAAAAACAGCAATTTAATGGAACCAAAGCTTCTGCTTTTGTTTTTTAATTTTGCATCACTTCAAGAAGATAGTAATAAACTCCAGTTGTCAATTCAGTGATTTATTTTAGAATCAGGAGGCTCAGGGCAACAGCTCAGCAGGAAAGACAAAGAAGAAGCAGCAGCTATCAAGAAGTGTATGCCCAATAAAGATCAAGTTTAATTCTCTTTTTATCTTTACCATACAGTCTGATCACACAAGAAATTGGGGAGAATAATTACAGAGATCATGATTAACAGCAGCTCTTCAATTTTTTCAATGATTTTTTTAAGGTGTGATTTTTGATGTTGTATTTATACTAATGAATGGTAAAGAAGGGATTTAGGGTAGCTAATGATTACAAATATATTTGGAGTTGTGCTGGAAGTTAGGAACGACAGACAGCTGGATGATACCGTACACCCCATATTTGAAATAAAAATAAAAGGGATGAAGCAAGGAACCTTTTGATTTTGTTTTTGTTTTTAAAATAAAAGCAAAACGTACCATTGGTTGGGTGTCGAGCAAATGAGATAGAAAACCTTTTAACAGCAGAACCGCGTGTGGTGTCTGAGAAAGAGAAAAACAGGTACCTGAAATTTGTAACAGCTACCAAAAGAAGGAGATTTCAAAAAAGGAAAGGAAGAAGAAAAAAAGATGAGAAGGTATTAGAACTGAGTGGCATGCAAAAAGGACCAAGGAAAAGGGCTAAAAATCTAAAAAGATGTTAAAAAGAAGAAAATCTGGATTGTTGGTAACTACAAGATGTGTAATGAAGTGTATGAAAACAAGCAGAATGAGCTGGTGATTCTGGCATACAAGGTTATATCAGGTTAAAGTTGAACACTGAATAGTGAATTGGGGGGAAAACAGCATGAATACTGGAATACTGTTTCACCTCAGAGTTTTAAAGATGTGCTTTGGCATCTTTACATTCTGAAATCTAATGAGAGAGTTTCTTCTCTACCCCAGATTATCCAAAACTGAAAATCTCCTGCTCCTCTGCAATCCAAACCCCACCAAAAAAAGATCAGGAATCCTAAAATTTTCACCATCAGTATTTAACTCATTAGTTTATCATTTCTTTCATTCCTTGTATATGCTCCAAGTAATTTCATTTCAAGATCAATAAGTAATGATAAAAACTGAAGTTTAAAATGAGAAAAGAATTTAAACCCCAAAATTTTAGTTTACTAAACAAAAAAAAAAATGCACTTGCTGAAATCTCCTGGCACACATTACAAGTCTATGGGCTAGTGTTTAATTCAAGACAGAAACAAGAATTAACTACGTATTAAGTTAAACATATGCAAGCTATGGGCAATAAAGAAGCAATAAAAACTCATACAATTAATATGAAGGCAAAGGATTCTAGGATTCCATTAAAATCTTTAGAAGTTCAATATGGCACATGGGTTTGTGCGTGCATGTGCGAGAGTGTGCACATACCATCTATGAAGCCAGAAGAAGTCAGCTTTTTACGATGAGTACGAGCATAATCCTGTAGGTTAGGTGCACTTGAAGAACCCCCGAGCACTGAGGTGCTAAACAGGCCCGCACAGTGAGACCCTGATGGGAGTTAGAGAAAATACATACAACAACCAGGTGTTTGTCCATTCACATTGGGGATGCATGCAGCATGCAAGCACACGGCTCTTACCACACAAAAGGCAGCTTTTGGCAGTGCCTTGGACAGGTTCACAATATGCTTGTAATGTCAGAGTGGTACTTGTAGGCTGAAACTAGCATAATTTATTGTGCTTCTACTCATGACACAGCACCCTCTGCTATATGCTCAAAGAGAGGACTGGCTTTAACAAGTGAGTTCTTGTCCTGTTTTCACTTTTGGTAAAGAAAAGTTACCAGTTAGCATCAACTGAAAAATAACCAAAACAACAAAAGAAAAACAAGATGATGATGATAATGATGATGATAATGTGAAAGTTGCTGTTTTAAAAGCTGCAGTTCTGAAACAAATATAAACTGGAAAAATACTGCTCATTGCTTTCATCCAAATCTACCTTTGAGATGAGAGGCTGCAATGAAGTCCTTATGCATTTCCACAGACTTAGCATGGAAATGTTTCCCTTCTACCCCCAGCAAAATGTTAATCAGTCTGGAAATAACCTATTCATATTTCAGCTACCATCACTGACAATGTTGCAAACTGAAAATACCTAGAAGTTGATCGTGTTCAGCTTGACTTCCTTTCCTATGAAGACTTGTGTACATCTCCATGCAAGTGAGAGTACTTTTGTTACAACTCACACATTCCTGCCACTAGGATGGGAGTTTTAACAAATCACTGAAGGCCACAGACAGAAATATAAAAATAACTTTTATAATCATCAACCATAACTGAAATTTACATACAACAATGAACAAAATGGAAAAAAATTGGAACTTTTTTTCCTTCAGCTTTTACTGCTAGTTGAAAGGAGAAGTGGTTTTTCACAAAGAACTTTTTAAAGTTTAATAAGTAGCAGCTGATTTTTTTGAAAACCAACTATCTATCCACTGATACTTCCTTTCACTACTTTTAATGAGGAGAAACATTACTAGCACATGTGACCAATCACAGCCAAAATAAATTGGTGCCTGGTCTGTGGCAAAAGCCTTTCACACCAAATGTAATACCTTAATCTGTGCACAGAAATACATCAACTTCCACAAGCCATATTGTGTCACACATTGGCAAAAGAAAAGTTGTTTCACTTTAGCAAGCACACAACAAAAAAACATGACTTTGATAAACAAGAGCACCTGATGTATGCATTTTACTAAGGGAAAAATATAATAGGGGAAAAGTATCACAAAGATTAGATGTACAAAAAATACAGTCTTTACAAAGAAAGGCAAAGCTACTTATAAGTTTATGTACATAGCTTATGCATTTTCTACACTTCATTTTTCCCATGAGAAGACACACTTACAGAAAAAAATGCAATATTGATTTACAGTAGTGCATGATTTCATATTTTTGCACGACTCATATGTACGCCTGTTTCAAAGAAGCAACAGAAAAGCACCACTTGAATTAGAAGAATTTTAAACAACTCATTCAGTTATAGCATGATTCATTCTTATGCTGAAAGGAAGAAATTGATTTTAGGAGAGGGAATGTATGCACCCTCCTATTCCCTCCTCTCCCCGATATTATCAAGAAACTTGACGTTTGTTCCCCATCCCCTCCCCTCAATCAAACACCTTAAATTCCATCAATTACCTACAGTAGGAAACATTAGTTTTCAATAGAAGTGTTTTAACTGTTTCCAGTGCAGGCCATTTCTATCCAAAAGATTCCTGCAAAACCCCAAAAATTATCCTGTGTACCTGTTGTGAGCAGTACAGTCAGTAGTGTGAACAGTCTCAAACAATTTTCTCTTTTCAGTTATAATTTTTTATAAAAAACTTTTGCTGCAGAAAAAAATTGTCCAGTTCATAGGCAGACACTCAGCATAGAACAAGTACTATCAGGTCCTGTTAACAAAAAAGCTATTCAAAGAATGTACAACTCTGTACAGAACAACAGGCAGATGAAAAGCTGCTAACATCAAACAAACTTCAATTGTAGGCACATACCTAGACCACTCTCTCGCTTTTGTTCCAGAATAGTTCTTGGTGTTCGTAAATTACTATTGCTTTCTGATAAGACCTGGATATAAAAAACAGAAAAATAAGGGAAAGTAGAACAGCAGTATGAAATATCCATTTAACTCGATACAGCAGCCTGTTTCAGACAGACAAGTGTTAATAAGCTGTATGATAAGTATTAGTAAAAATATGAAAAGGAAACATGAAGGATCATGCAATGTCCCCTTCTGAAGGGAGTCCATTTCACATATGAGTTCCTTGCAATGAAGTGGTGCAAAGCAAGCATTCAGAATGAGGAAAGTACACAGACCAAAACCAGTATGAGAACAGACATTTGAGACATTTTATTTCATTTTACCAAAGGCACTCTCCTAAACTGCGCCTGTATTGAAAAAAGGAGGGGAGGGAAGGAAAGACAGACGAGCCACTGAGGACACCATACAATCACTGATCCATGCATGGGCTCAATCAGTGTAATCTTCAGATGCTCACAGCCTTTACTGATACAAACTTTTCCTACATAAATAATTTTAGAATTTTCCACAATAAAAAGAAATTACGAAAATTTTCGAAGAAAAAGGATATGGTTAACAGAACACCATCCACTGCATACATGTAAACAATATCTTGACATACTAAACAATCTTTAGATCTTAACTGATAATTCAAAAAAAATTAAGTTTCTCATTTTCCTGCCTTTCCCCCCATAACATTTAGAAAAAAATCTTCAAAATATTGTTCAAGTCAATGGATGATGTACTGCATTGGGAGTTTCAGATACCTCCGGATACAGAAGGCAAGAATTATTAGTGCTAGAGTTTTTTCCCTGCAATAGTTAATACCAGGCCACTGAAAATATGATATATGCAAAACAAGTTTTGAATAGCAACATGAAGTACCAAATTATTTTAAATGGTATTGGTTGCAATTATTAAAAAAAATTATTTTCAATTTACCTACCACCCAATTAAGCAATGCTGTTTTTAAAGTCTTAAAGGACAACTAAACCAAAGCAGAAATCCGTTTCATTAGGCAGTAGACTAAGTCTTTTTTTACTGTGGTAACATTTGCCATTCCTATAAAGAAACCAAATTTTTAGGAAAACGTGTAACACATTCAATGGAAAAACATGCACTTGCTCTTTTTCCCCCAAACATTCTCGGAAAGTAATTTTAAGAAGTGGAAGAATTTACTTCAAACGTAATCCATAACAAGGGATTAGATGTCCTTAAAGACAGTTGGTTGTTGCTTGGAATGCATAATAATGTTTAATGAAGTAAAGTTTAAAAACCTGTTGCCATGAGCCAAAAATACTGGATGTGAAAGCCAATGATTTAGGGGAGACAGGGGAAGAAGTGATTTGTTCCCCTGATCTGCGTCTTCGACGCCCAGTACCCACACCACTGGTGTAATGCAGCCAGGTACCAATACACTCTGGGCTAGACACACTCAGGGGGCTCTCTTCCTGGAAGTGAGAAAGGGGGCAAAAAACAGCAAAGCATGCAAAGTTAGATTCAACAGAGCCAAATGAACAGAAAAGAAAAAAACCCAATCTGCTTGCACCCTTTTATATACTGCTTTGAAAACTATTAAACAGCAAATAGGGAAGAGTAGTATGACAATATTAGGAAGTTACTGGTTCTACTTACGTATTTTCATCCAATTATATCTTTTAATACAACACTTTTATCAATTTTCTGGTAGACTGATTATTAGGTATGAGAGAAAAGTAAGTGTTATCAATAACTGATTCATAATTGTAAGAATTTCCCACATGTTGGAAACAGAACATCTGTTATCCTTGACATACTGTTTATTGGTTTTCCCCCCCTCTAAGTACATTAAACTTTCCTATTTATCATTTAATAGTTTTCATTTCTAGTCTATAACCTTATGTAGGAGATTTTGATTTTTAGAATTGCCTTTGAGACTCTACAGCTGACCCACTGGTAGTAGCGCCAACCTGACTGGTAGTAGTTTTCCAGCATTAAAAAAGCCCTAAAAATTATCTGATGCTGGACGCCTGTTGAAACTTCAAGGGAGGATATTGTCAGGCTGAGTTCCCCATGCCCTACATCACTATGTATTGTTAGCAATCAACATTACAGCAATACAGAACTCGATTTCCAATGCTCATGTGCCTTACTCTCTTGTTTTTCTGTCACAACTCTGCTCTTTTTATATTTTCATGAATCAATCCCAGTTGCCATCCTTCTGTAAATATTGTTGACTATACCCGAGATGAAAACTTCCATATAATCTCACACCTGACAGTGTCCTTTCAAATTAACAGACATAGGTGAAGAGAGAATTGTCTTATAGTAAAAAACGAAACAAAACAAAAACAAGCCAAAAGGTTCAAGGCAGTTGAAGCTGCAATGACTTTTTTTTTTTAAACGCTTCAAAATACCATCTGGTTTAAATATTCCAAATACTAGTTTTGCAGATTTCAGTAGGCCAGATGAAACTTCCAGTTTTACTTTTTTCCAAAACAAATTTCATAGTGTATGTTTTATTTATATTGGCTATTTTCTTCCAGCACGTAAACAAGCACTGAATGCTGAAACATACTCCATCTGAACATGTACTACCTGAGCAGTCAAAATTTAGCAGTTTATGTTATTAGAACCTTCTGAAATTAACTTTTATATAATTTATAAAAATAAAGGTTTGAAGTAACAGACATTAAGTTGTGTATATGTGAACTCGTAACAAGGAGGGGAGTTTGCATGATCATAGTGAAAACAGCTTTTAAAATCCAAGATACTGACGTTGTGAGCATTTGTTTATGATAAAACTTGGAAATAGAAAATGTAAGACATTTATTATCTCTGTTAATTTATGGAAGTCATGTGAGTTATACATATATCCTTACAGAAGGGAACCATGCATCTTTTTGTCTCCACATTGCCAATAACCAAGCTACTTGCAAATCTGTAATGCTTTCATTGCACACAAAGAACCCATTCCCAACACAGACATGAAAGGAAAAGCTTTTGGTGTGAATCTTCATTTCTGATGGTTTTAAGCAACTGAGAATGAGGCAATAAGAAGCTGTTAGTCTGCTTCTAGCATTAATATCACGGAAGTGCCACTATGCACCATGTGAAGCTTTGCCACTCAATGTACAAATGGCATCAGTGATACTGCCATGTATCCCCACACCTCTGTGACATTAAAGCCGTATCTGTGAAGCACATCTAGATGTTATGGCCTTCAGGACAGGAATTTAGACTGTTCAAGATGTTATCTAAAGAATTTATGACACATAAATCCCACCCACTTTAAAAAAAAAAACAAAGCTTCCTTTTTATTCTCTTACCTTAAAATTCTTGATAAGCAGATTCACTTTCACCCCATGTGAAAGCAAATACAGCAGACACGTCTCACCTCCTGCACCTCCCCTACCACCCCCAATCCCTTTGTTTTCCCTTTCAGCATGACTACCCTGAAGTTTTGCTTAATTCATAATAGCAGCTGCCTTGTAAGGATGAATACAAAAGCAATGTATGTTAGTCTGAAGATGTAGATTTAGACTGATAAAGTCTTAATTTTCAAATACCAACTTTTCTAAAATGGCTTAAAAAGAAAAAAGGAAATAAGTCTTACTGCAAAACAATAATTCATTTTAAAAAATCCTTCATAAAAATTACTGCCATGGAGGATTTCCCATAGAATAAGAGCAACTCTTTTGTGAGACATTACATCATACTGGTTCTGTATAATCAAAACCAGAATTTGGTTTTGTTTTGTTAAAAATAAACAAAGGTTAATTTCCGTGAAAGAGATTATCTGGAACATAAACACTTACTTCAACAGAACCAATCTTCCTGGATCTTGGAAGGGGTGACTTTTTGTGTATGTGAATTGGGTCTGATACCATTGGCTTGAACATCACGACTGACCGATCTGCTTCATCTCTTTTAGGAGCATGTACCTCCTCATCACTATCGTTCTTATGAGAGGTTTTCTTCGAGCCTTCATTCTATAAGCAATACATAAATAATTTTCAATTTAGTTGCACACTTTGCAACATATAGACACAAGTGGCTGTTAAGATTTTAAAAATACAGGGTAGAAATTACTTACTGTTGAACAAATTGTTCTAGACTTAATAATCTATGTGTATTTGCTCCTAACCAGCCACTACATATGATAGTGTGGTCCTAATTAACCCCATTGTTCAGACAACATATTTTACTCCAATATTATGTTGGCCTAGTAATAAAATCCTGGCCCCACTCATCAACAGAAGAATTCCAGCCAAGCTTTGCTTTCAGTCATTTCTCAAAAAGCGGGTGGTAACTCTACAGACTTACTCATACATCACTGAAAATATCAATTCTTCCTCAACAATCTGCATTCAAAACCACGTCAAACTACCTTATTTCATTAAACATTTCTTTTAGTTACCAGGATATCACTTGGTGTGACACTGATGTTGGCTTCACTTTTCTTACAATGAGTATTTTGTATTTCTAGCAAAAATTCTGGCAAAGCCGTGGAAGGTCCAAATTACCAGTGTCCATTACCTCAGTGTACATTCAACATGCAGTAATACACCGGGACTGACTATATTTTACTAGATATTTTTCTACCAAAATAAAAAACAGATTTGTATTTTTCACCTAACAATCTCCCAATGTTTATTTTAGGTATGTCTGCATCCAGAAAAACTAACTTTTGCTTTAAACAATGTGGAACTGTTACCTCTCTGGAGGCAGGTCTGTATCCATATCCAGCTGGTAAATTTTTATCTTCCTCACAGCCTTTGGCTCCCGGACTAAAGTGCAGCTCTACATGAAAACGTTCTTCCGAAGAAAGTTCCTGAAGGAAAATTATTAAATAAGTTTACAGTTTAATACTTAGCTTAGCACTACTAGTTTCTGAAGATATTTACCCATTTTAAATACCTTGTTTGGATCTTCATAAAGCATGATAACAATCTGTGTCATGTAATTGAGTTCATTGACAACATTTAAATAATCCATAGCTCGTTTCCATTGTTCATCTTTTGATACCTTATGAAGGGGGAAAAAAAATATTAATAAATAAAAACCAGCTATTTTCTTTAAGAAGTTTGATGATTTCCCTTTTTCCCCATTTACATGGATTTTACACTGACAGCAGAAGTACGAAGCTCTTCACAGCTAAAGAAAAAAAACAGATACAACCAGGGAAAAAAAAAGAAGTGACTTAAAATTACTATTCAAATGAATGAAAAGTGGAGGTCAGAACTTCTCATATTTTATTTCAGTGTATCTTTCACTTTCTTTTGCCCATGATGATATATGTCTTCTAGACATAGGCAGTGTTTTAAACACTCCTGATGTGAATTGTTAATTTTGCAATGAACTTACTTCAGCTAGTATATTGTGGAAAATGTTTCTACATATCACTCTACCAAACAGAGTAAATGAACACTTTCAGTATATAAACCATCCTTAACTATATAAAATGAATATTCACCTTTTTCAAGCTCTAGAAAAGAACATATTTAATAATTAACCTTAAAGAAAACTTAAAAGTTTATCAGTCTAAAATTAGGCGTTTATCTGCTGTAGTGTATGTCACAGAGGTCTAGGATTAAAAATGCTTTTGCCATCAGTGAGTTTAGTCATCCAATACCAAAAGCAAGTACGTCAATAGAACCAGTGTGCACAGTAGCAATTTGAAATATCTCTGCATACATGATAGGAAATAAAATGTTTGAAAAAGTGTGATAAATTTCAAAGCCACTTAAGAAAATTAAGCTTTCAGGAGGTACAGTCTTAGTAAGATTAAGTTCTTTTGTTTCCTCTCAAAATATCAGAGCCTTAACGGAAAAAAAAAAAAACAAACGTTCAACTTACATCACATAAGGCACCGTAACGAAGGGTGGATAACAGGGAGTGGACATGACTCTCGCTGGTGAAATACAGCCGTGTACGAACATGGCGTTCAGGGGACATAACACCCCTGGAGTAACTTGAAAATAAAAAGAATCTTGTTAGACCATACTGAGATGCGTCCCTGTTTTAGAAATAGCTGTCAAATAAACAAGCAAACCATACTTCTTAAATTATGAGCTAGTAAAACACTTCAAATATAAAGCTATGGAGTATCTATATTAACTCTTATGGAAATTAATGTAACCATGTAAAAAAGACTTACAGAGGGTGAAGCTTATTTACAGTATCATCATCTTGAGTTCTCTGAAGGTCAGAACGGATTTTTCTGACTAGAGGAGTGCAGTAACCTTTGGCAATCTCTAGTTTCTCAGCCTTAGAAATGCCATATTCCTGTGTAAGAACAAACTGACTTTCAAAATTCAGTCAAAGATTACAATGCCTTTCCTGTTCAAAGGCTTGCGTAATAAATCTGATTAGTCTACTTGCCCTGGCTGCAAACCGTTTTGCTTAACATTTTTATTACATTTGATTACTTACAGCCCTTCAAGTAACAAGCAGTTTGCCTTTTTGCTGTTTGATTTGACAATTTTTTTATTAGACATATAAACAGGTTTTTCATTCACTAGTTAAAACCACAAAAGTGCATTCACTTTCTGGCATGATGAAACTCTCTTTCTTAAGCAAAACATCTAGGGAATTATTCCTCCTCCTGTGAGCTTCATGCTCTGTGCTGCACATGGTATGAAGTGCTCACAGCATTTTGATGGATTCTAGTTACCCTAGAAGGAAAAAGAAGTACTTTTCCTTTGCATTACGTAGGCTTATTAAGATTTTTCTGTTTTTCCTCCTTCAGTATGTCCTCATTTTTACCCACTCTAACATTCTATTCAAAATTTAAGCTTAACAGGTCTGCATAACACAACACATACCTGACTTCAAAATTCTTTTTGTCCTCTTTGCTGTCAGGGAGTTTGAGAGATGAGGAGAGGAAGAAGTTCCCTTACTTGCTTTGTAAAACACGGGTATCTCTCTTACAACAGTGCTCTGTGACTACAGGGGCACCTGGGGAAAGCTTTACTCTATTCCATCCTATTATCAGAAAACAATTCCATGTCCTGCAGCCTACAACATTTTAGAGATAATCTGAGTTTAATAGCCTGTAGTATATGGAAGTTTAATTTGCCTGCTTCTGACCTGGAATTCTATGAAAATTAATGTGCACACTTTTATCACGGAGTGATATCAAGGATTGCTGCATTTTGAAGCAGCAGAAAGGTCTTTTTAAACTCAAATTGTTTAAGACAAGTGAAATTAGATAGATTAGGATTAACAGTGTCATTTGCAAAGAGCCTGGAAATGAAATTTCTAAAACCGGGAAGAATTAAATGTATTTTCAGAATACACTACTGTTCACAGGGCCTACATTTAAATCTATGAAGAACGGCGGAGACGAACCACTTTCTTCTAATATACTGCACTAAAGGAGGAAGATGTTTTCAGAGCTTAAATTGCTAAAAAAAAAAAACCCAAAAAACAAACCACTTTGAACACAGCTTATGAATTATGAATCATATTTTTCTTAGAAAAATCATCAGCTTGCTACCAGAAAATAAGAGATAAAGTTGAAGACTTCTATTACTGCAACATACAGGAACCTTCAATAGAAAAGACTGAGTAGACATTTTCACAAAATTTGAAAATGCATTTATTCTATAATTTATTCTATTTAATAACTAAAAATGCTTACCTGAGGGATGACAATGTCAGCCAAAGCCTTTGAAAGCCTGTATAATTCCATTGTGTTTTCCAATTTCAAGGAGCCATTGTGCTGCACATCATATTTTATACAATCATAAATATCAGGGATTTTGCTAATATCGTATCTTCCATTTTTTGTTTTAAAGTCTTTTTCCAGCTTAGACCACCTGCGCAGCATCAGTTCTAGTGTCTCACTGTGGTACAGCTGAATATCTGCATAGACATGTATCTCATAAATAAAGACCATCAAATAAAAGGGAAATTTTAACCACATTTTAGTTATAGTTGAATACAGAGGGATAAAAAAGATCAAATAGGTTTTTGAGAAGAGGGAACAGATGTGTATATGGTTAATTTTACTGCTGAAAGTGTCACAGTTACATGGCTACATCAAGATGGCGGAAAGCTTTATCTGCAGAGATGCACCACTGGCCCTTTAAGCAAAGCTATAGCACAAAGAATAGTTTGTCCTACAGCACAGATAATGTATATATTAAAAAGCAACCAAAAAAAGTTGCAAGAAAATTCTGAAAGTTCAGAAAAGGAGTACAACAACATCTGTTTTGTAACAGACCACACATCCCATTTGTTTCTCCCTCCTGCATGTACCAACAGAAAAAGCCAAGAGATAGTAAAAAGAATGGATTATGCCCATTCCAGGACAGAGGATTAGATCAGATAGACAAAACCCACTGATACTATGCACAGGTGACACTTACCCTGCTCAACCTCAGAACAGAAGCTGTTTGCATACTAAACACTGCAGATAACACTGGCAGCAAACATTCCAGTATTTAGCTAGTACCAAAAAAGCACTGTGGTCACTTCCAGCTCTAGTTTTCCTGCATTATTGGTTCACCACAATTTATACTGAGCATCATTCCATGCAGTACTACTATACATCATACATCAAGCAACACATCTTCAGCAAAGATACTTAAATATAAAAATGTACCTATGTAACTTAGCTTTAGTACCATCTACTTGTCCTATTACTTTTGTGGATTCCTGAGTTTTAAATAATTAAGACAAGAATTTCTGCAAATATTTGAGGACTAGCTTGAACTTCTGAACAGCACAAAGAGCCCTTACCTGCAATGAGACTACATGTTCCTTCTGCTTTTTACTTTAAAATTATGTATATGGAATCAGACTGTGAAAATTCATAAGCCATTGTTAATTAAAGTTTTGCTAAGAGCGAGTTTAATGATGAAAAGTTACGTTACAATTCTCTCTCAGGTGTAAGCAAGAGAAACTAAATACAACTAGAAAAATGTTTAAGTACCTGCAGACTTTGGATCTTCCATTCTTTGCCTGATCTGAGAAGTCAAGCTCTGGATCAAGGAATAGACCGTGTCACATGTCTTTACAGGATTTTTAATAACCTGCATTGATTTTATCAGTGAGATGCTTCCAGATGGAGTAAGCTGCAATTTGAGATAAACACAAAGTTACCTAAACAAACTATCTAGATTTGAAAGAACTGTGGAGATAAGATGGAATGTATTAAAGATTCCAAGTATTGGAGAAAAAGTATTCAAGCAAGTTGGCATTAATTTCTGAACCCATCGCTGAATTACCTAGTCCCTTTAAAGCATTAAGGAAACATAAACTAAAGGAAACACTTTAAATGTACATATATCAAGAACATACAGCTGACTTAATTTTAAAAATTTTAGAGCTATCAAGTTGGCGTGACAAAACAATACAGATAACATCCATGTAAGTGAGGCTTAGCCTTATTTTTGAAGAAAAGTCTGCATAATCCAAAGTAAGAAAACAATTACAGTAAACAGTAATTCATTGTTTACTATAAATTTACATAACACAAATACATATCTGCACTTCCCTCAGTTTCCTCAAATGCACAGGATAATTCAGATAAGGGAAACTTCTGCCCTTTACCTACCAGTAACCAGTTCTTACCTCCCTATTATGACCAAGTAAATAAATGGGAAAGGTGCTGTGGCACAGGAGAAAAAAAAAAAAAAAAGTTTTCCCAAATTTCATGGAAGTTAAAAAAAAAAAAAAGTTACTATCATTTCATAATCCCAAAGTTTAGCTACGTTCAATAATGATCTTCAAAGAGTATACTCTATTAGTTCCAGCCACATTTCAAACCCCATTGTATTTATACAGCAAAAAGAAGGGGGGAAATAAGTAAATCCTTGAAAACTTGTACCCTCTCACTTTTTCCAAGTACTGCTGAATCCATGGCTGGCAGTGGTTTGGATGATACTTCTAATACACATGTTTAAATAGATCCACATACAGATTACATGCAGGACAGTAAAATAATTTTTCTGTAATTTGCTCTCAATAAATTTTCAGAAATAAAATTCAGTTTAAGCTTAAACCTCATTTCAGGACTTCTATTTGGTTGTTATACTAGACAGAGTAAGTGCAGCTGAAAGGGAATGACGTTTAACAATAACAAACATTACTCATTAAAACTTAAATGATTTCAAATTATTTAAAATTTAAAACCAGGAACAATCATGTATGTTCTGCACTAAGTCAGCATAAACTCTATTAATTTGCACTAATTTAGCATGTTAATGAGACATTTCCTTTCACTGATTATAAAGTGTTCTAATGGTTCTCAGCATCTTAGTATTCCTTGACTTAAAAAAACAGGCTTTGTAGCAGATTAAACATTGAAACTACTGCAATAGGCAGGCATTAATATATTTTGTAATACCACACACTGTCAAAGTAATGAAAACTAATATAACTCGTATAACTAATATAACTGATGAAAACAATATAGTCTAATTTCTTGATTAAGCAAAATATTTTAATGGAAAAAAATAGGTTTTAATAATTAAAATAATTTTAATGAAAAATATTTATAAATGAGGTCTCTATCTACTCCTATTTCAAAGTTTGTAGCTATTCTGATTACTCTAATTGCAAGACAGCTCAAAATATGTAATGTCACAATTGGTACAGCTTCCTTTGTAGTTCAAACTATTTTCAAGCACACAAATATTTTTTCAAACTAGATACGCAATTATCACAGCTCATTACTTTCACACAAGAACTTGCATGGCCATGCTAACCTTATCATAGTCATCAGCAGTAAATTCTCTGTCTCTCTGGAGAATTTCATGGAGTCTTGCTTTAACACGATGCTGACAGCTGCTTAAAGAATCACTGTCACTGTCCAGCAGACCATTCATATTAGCACTTTTTACCATCTGGACAAGAATAGGAGTCAGCTCTCCCTCTAGGGCCAGCAGTCCCTGAAGCAAATAATACAATTAATCAAGAAAACAGATAAAGATGAGAATACAACAGTATCTTTAAAAAAACACCACTGGTTTAAATTCAAGATTATCTAACCCACAGGAAAGTGATACAAACAGGGACTTGGCAGACAATGCAGACATTTGCATAGAAATGGCCCCCAAAACAGGACAAAACAGGTGTGCAGGATTGCTACAGTTGGTAAAACAGTGATGGTGACATGTCATAAAATATGCTCCCCAGCATATGAGCAGTGCCAACACTGTTCCTGCAAGGTGACAGCTGTTGAGGTTTTAGGTTGCTGGGTTAACATAGTGCCTTCTCCCTGAGGCTGGGAGCAGCAGCAGCCTGACTTGTAGGGGACATGCTCCTGCTCAAGGCACTGAGCAATCAGAACAGTCAGCAAACTGAACAGCATCTGGGAGGACAAAAAGGAGATAGACAGGGTTTTTGCAGACCCTACAAAGGCAAAAAGCCCAAACTCGGTGTGGCACAGAAAGAAAATCAAAGGCTGAGTTGAGCAAGAGGTGAATGGAGACTTCCAAAATGGAGACGGCTGGAAACTTTTGTGACTGTTCTGGCAAGAGAAAGGCTCTGGATAAGGAAGGAAATGGGGTGGTGTCTCCTCAAGCCTGCTGACCAGGGAGAAAGCAGGACAGATGGCTAGAATACTTCTGCACCAACACATGCAGAATGGAAACAAACTGAAAGAAGTAAGTCTGAATGCTTGCAGAGCTTTAAGTTTATTCAGATTACAGAGATGTGGTTGAATAGTTAACATGAACGGAGTTTTAATTAGATACAGGGCCTTTTTATAAGAGCAACAGGACAAGGAGGAATGTTTTTAAATTGACAGAGGGAAGATTGAGATGAGATCTTAGGCAGAAGCTCTTCCCTGTGAGGGTGGTGAGGCACTGGCACAGGTTGCCCAGAGAAGCTGCGGCTGCCCCATCCCTGGCAGTGCTCAAGGCCAGGCTGGACACAGGGGCTTGGAGCAACCTGGTCTAGTGGAACGTGTTGGAACTGGATGAGCTTTAATGTCCCTTCCAACCCAAACCAGTCTGTAATTCTGGAGGTTGTTATAGGAAAGGACTAAGGTATATTGCTAGGGCTGTATAATGAAAATCTGTCTGCATCTGCTCAAAGAACTTACAATGCTTGACACATTAATTGTCTACATTTTCACACTGAATAGAATTTTCACACTGAAAAGAAAAACATTTCTTTTAATTTAAAAAGAAAATACATTTGTTTTAAAACTCAGCCTTGTTATACACTGTGGACTCTAATAAACCTTAAACCTCTCCTAGTCTTCAAAAGAGAAAACGAACTTGAGAACATCAGATTTTTTAAAATTGAAAATACAATTTCACACTGTACCTTTGCAAAAGCTGCTGCAGTCATCTGGACTCGTCCCTCATCAGAAGCGTAGATCTTGAGATCATGTCGGTAAGTGCTATGTAATCTAAGTAAACCACATCCAGGAAATCCAGCATAATCTCCTACCAAACAAACATTTTGCTCACTCTCATTTTGCACTTGATTATCTTCAAAAGTGTTTATGCCATTATTTTTTTTTTTTTTTTTTTTTACCTTGTCCACCTGGATACATACACCTGAAAGCCCTTCCAAGCTCCTCTGCTTGAACCCTGCCTGCAGGGGTCAATTCTCCTCCCCATTTTAAAACCAGAAGCAGGGATGGCTCATTTCTTCTATTATCTAATTGTAGACAGAGAGAGGAGTTAAGTAGTAAAGTGTATTCTATTTTCTTTTCTTGCAAATGACAAAAATATTCAAACTATGGCTTCAGCAAAAGATTGCTTCAAGATTATGAATACTTAATAGCATTCTAACGTTAAGAAAGTATTGAATCTGAGAACTAAATGGGCACTTAGAGAAACCTCAAGTAGTTAAACTACAGAAAACATATAGTGAGATATATTTAGCATGAAATCTGAAGCAAAATGTAAATTGGGACAGGAAAATTAAAACAAATTAGATGTTAAATACTCTACATTTATATCAGTCAATAATCATGGAGCAAGGTTAAGAAAAGCTTACAAAAGTTTTAAAGACAGCAGTAAATGTTGAGTTGTATTTTCCCATCCCAAACCCAAACCACTGTTTTTTGGTGAATCACTGGAGCTTCTTTTCACCCTACTTTTCTGTTGCAAAAAAGCAGTGTTAGAAGACAAATTTACTACAGTTTTAGGCATATGATTCAGTGTACAATCAAGAGACCGAATATCTGCCAATAAGAAAAAATATTAATTGAAAACATATTTCTTTTTCTTACCATCAAGACATGTTACACCACTAGTCCATGACTATTTTAATGCACATGATATTAAGTAATTAGGTGCATAAGTAATACAATACCTTCTTCTTCACTGGAAGTCTTCGGGCAGCCATGAGGAAGATACGTTAACTGAACTTTGCGATTTATTCCTGAAAAATGCCCATACCTGAAGTAGGAAAATGAGAAGAGAAGAGGGATAGAAACATTTTATATATTTTCCTCCAGAACTGCTATGATCCTGTATCTGGATATACTACATCTATACTGGGCATTGATTTGTGCATTTGACCACCATCTACTGAAGCAGCGCTTCAAATAAACCTAAGTCAACAAGAACAGTATGACTACAGAAGCATCCACCAATCCGTAATGAAATATTTAAAAATGCCTTCTACTACTTTTTTCATGACACTGAACATGAAACTGGAAAAAGAAAGCAAAAGGAAAAAAAAAAAAGATAAAAAGGGTGGAAAGGGAAAGGCAGGACAAAAAAGGAAAGGGGGGGGGAAGAAACTGAAAAGGAAAGGAGAAAAAAGCACTTACAGATTACACGAGTAATTTATTCAGATCCACAACTACAGTAGCTGTGACTATCTAAATCTGATCTGGCAGTACAGATGGCTACTATTTTGTCAGCCAATAACTAAGTTCTCAAGCAGAACTCATAAATTTCAGTAACTGTCTTAGCCCTGATTTTTTTTTTAAAGTTATATATATTCTTTAGTGCTCTGACACCCCAGATGTTTAACACACCTTGAAGCCTTAGGGTTTGGGGTTTTAATTATTAAATATTCCCAGCTTAATATACAAAGCCTTATTTATTTGGAATCCACCAAAGTACAGTACACAGTGAAAGTTCCTGTTGACTCCATCAGATTTCATTATGCCACACACCACAAGAAGCAGACCCTGCACTTAAATACTTTCATTTTAAAAGCATGCAAGAAGACAAAATTTGAGATGAAAGTAACGTTTCATGTAGAATGAATACTGAGACACTAGATAAAGCAATACATTCAATTAAGAAGATAAGAAGAGAAAACAGCTGTTCCATTTGTCATAATGTTGAACATGACATCCTTTCTCTTCATAACCCTTGTGCTTGAATATATCATTGCATATTTGATAACCACTGCATTGCAAGCACTAACTGGTCTAACAGGTCAAAATAGCAGATCCAACTTTGTTGCTATGAAGCCTGAAAAATTAACCACTTACATTTCTAACACCGTCTTTAGCTGTTCAAGTTTTGCTTTACTTTCTTCAATTTCAGAATCATTGTTCTGCCCAAGTTCTACAAGGAGTTGTCTTGCTATATCAAGCACTTCCTAAAGAAAGAAAACATGGGATTTATTTAAACAATTTTCTATTTATAAAATACTACAGCAAGAAAACAAAGACAAACTTGCCTGCAACTGTTTCGGTTTCTTCAGTTTTAGTTTTCCTGATTTATATCCATCACATTTTTCAAAGAGATCAAAAAACCTTTAAAAGGAAAGAATACTGATTAAAAAACATGTCTAGTAACTTAAAATATTACTTGAACAAGTGGCTCTTGGCTTGAATTAGCACCTTTACACTATCTGAAAAGCATGCTAAAATCTGCCCTACAGGTCAAACCAACCTTTATTCACATCCCATTTCCCAGTAAAGTCTTCAATACATAAGAGAAATAAGGGCATTAAAAATGTTCTGTTACTGATCCGCAAAGCGCCAAAAAAAAAAAAAAATTCTTCATAGCAAATGACATAATACTCTAATATACAACTATGTAAATTCCTAATCTTCAAGAATGTTCCTGAACAGAACCAAAAATATCAGATAAGCAGTACTACACTTTTACAACATGTATCTCTGAATGCAAGAATCTAGTCCCAAGACAAGTAATTACTAATTACCTTTTTACTGAAATTGCACCTAATTCCAGGACAATTGTATGAGGCACTTTATGAATCCTAACATAAAGATGTTATCTACCAGCAATTCAGAGCCATCAATCTTTGACAAAAGTGAAAGTCAAAAAGGTAGTACAGTAGATGGCAGCTCATACAAGCACAGTTATGATGTGCAGAGCAGCCCTGCGGAGAAGGACTTGGGGGTGGTGATTGATGAGAAACTCGACATGAGCAGGCAGTGTGTGCTTGCAGCCCAGAAAGCCAACCGTATCCTGGGCTGTATCAAAAGAAGCATGACCAGCAGGTGATCCTGCCCCTCTACTCTGCTCTTGTGAGACCTCACTTGGAGTATTGTGTCCAGTTCTGGTGTCCTCAACATAAAAAGGACATGGAGCTGTTGGAGCAAGTCCAGAGGAGGGCCACGAGGATGATAAGAGGACTGGAGCACCTCCCGTACGAAGACAGGCTGAGAAAGTTGGGGCTGTTCAGCCTGGAAAAGAGAAGGCTGCGTGGAGACCTCATAGCAGCCTTCCAGTATCTGAAGGGGGCCTACAAGGATGCTGGGGAGGGACTCTTCATTAGGGACTGCAGTGGTAGGACAAGGGGTAATGGCTTTAAACTTGAACAGGGGAACTTTAGGTTGGATATAAGGAAGAAGTTCTTCACAGTGAGGGTGGTGAGGCACTGGAATAGGTTGCCCAAGGAAGTTGTGAACGCTCCAACCCTGGTGGTGTTCAAGGACAGGCTGAACAGAGCCTTGGGCAACATAGTTTAATGTGTGGTGTCCCTGCTCATGGCAGGGGGGTTGGAACTAGATGATCTTAAGGTCCTTTCCAACCCTAACTATTCTATGATTCTATGATAAAAAGAGAAAGGCAGAAGTCAATCAAATGGTGAACCAGAAAAATTCTCTGCTGCCTCTGCAGAGACAAATGCATTTTCACTAATGACACACAGGACTGTTCACAAGGCATAGCATGTGATGAAGGAAGTGTGCATGAGTAATTTGTCAGTCTTGTTAGAAAGAGAGGTGCATACTTGTTAAATAGCTGCAACATAAGCTAGATTTAAAACAAAACAAAAACCAACTTGTAAGATGCAATTCCTGCTCAATTCATCGCTTGCACACCCCCAAGAAGTGAGCTGGGCTCTAAAGCATCCAAACTAATTTTTATGAAGATGCTACTTACCGCTGATGTTTCACTTCCATTTTCATTTTTTGTTTTGGTGTTCGGTCCCCATGGCGTATTACAGCTATAACACATCTAAGCTCCATCCTGCAATTGAAAGAGAGTCAGTTCTATATATGACGGTCTTATATTTAGTACTAAAACCACCACGAATAAAGACAATTGACAAAGTCATAGTTACATGACATAACTACAGAAATGATGGAAGAATATGCAAGAATATAAGGTTAACTGAAAATGATGTAAGGTATAAAATATAAATACTGATTTTAAGACTCAGGTAACTACAGAAGTATCTATTTTAAGTAGTTTTCAAAACGACAATTTGAGGTTCATTAAATGAGAAAGCATGTTTATTAGAAGCACATATTAAGCTGGTGTTGTAACAATGATTAGCAGTGAAGGAAGCTATGCATAAAAGACACTATGCTTGAAAATCTGCTGTTCTATACTCAGCTTGACTAAGGGTCAGAAACTGATTGCTGGCATAGCAATTGTGATTCCTTCCTTGTTTTCATCACACAAAATAAGCGTTCATAGGCCAAAGTGGGCACACCTTGTGAAGAGAAAAAAAAATTCACACGAGTTACATTAGAAGTTTGCACAATGCAGGTAGAGTGACTATTTTCTTACATTGTTCCAGAGGTGGTTGGCACAATAGGAATGTCTTCAGCTTCCAAAGGAATCGACCATGGTATCTGAAACTGGGGAGCAAGTTCTCTCATTATGATATTTCTAAAGAAGGGGTTAAAAAAGGAAAGAAAAAAAACAAGCCTAAGTTTAGAGCACAGCTTATACAACACATACAAACTCCAAATCAAATACATAATATAGACATTCATTTTTACTAATGTGCTTTTCAAGTACTAGCAGTCATAGGTCTCTAAATGCGTATTTTTCTTGTAACTGTACAGTAAAAACGTATTTAAACAACAATTTAAAGGTACTACAACTTCTAAAGAGACAACATTAGCCTAATGGCCCTGGATTTGTAAGAAACCTGTTTTTGAACTCCAGTTCCTAAAGTAGCTCCCTGGATATGATTCAGTCTTGTTCATTTAAATATTCAGACACTTGACTCCACTGCGTAACTAGAAGTCCCTGGTAATCAGTAAACAGATCTTATCATGGAGTAATTGGTATCTTTACTCAAATATTTCTGTGTTAGAACTGGAACCTTCCGTCTACAGAAGGTTGTTAAGTCTTGCTAATGTTCTGTTTCCCAAGTATTTAATCAAAATAACTGAACCTGAGATTAATATATATATATATAAGCAGCAGTAATATGGAGGGAAAAAAATGTAACTCTCAAAGTAGCACAAGCCAAAATTTAATCTCTACAAAGCTCAAAAAAAAATCTGCTACTTAAACCTGCAATTTATAAAGCATAAGGGGGGGGGGGGGGAAGAGAGAACTTTTTTCAGAGAATTTAACAGCTACAATTGCAATAAAGAAAAATCAAAATGGGTATGAGAATTGTAACCAACTCAAAAAGTGGCATAAAACAACAGCAGTACACTTGTTGTATCTAGGATTTCAGCTTAGCTCTTCCTCCACTTAGTAAGATCCTAGAGCATTTGACAATGCAGAAAGTCAGCTGTATCTCATCAGTATAATCTTACTGTAAAACCAGTTTAACTGGTCAAAATAGATTCAGCCTACTTTGAGGGCAAAGTTTCATTGGCATAGAGTTCACTACCCAATTCTGTCTGATCCCTTGTTACACATTTTTTTCCTCCCAGTAGCAGAGAGAAGATGGTATGATAGAAGACACCTTGATACTATATCAGTTTGGATTTGCCAATATGAAATTCACAAATATAGAAGCATACACCAGCTTTAGATCAAGGACAATGCACATTAATTTGGGCACATATTAAAGAGCAGCAAGCATAACCATTCAGTGGTGCTTCTCTACTTGGGGTGAAAAAAAATAAAAGTTCTTAAAGCTCTACTTCAGCAATTAATCCAGCTTTCAAAATACTTATTCAGTTAGCTTTATGTGTTCATAAAGGACTCAGATTGAATTTTAGATGATTTTAGGAGTAAGAAGTTTATTTAGGATTTATTTCTTCTTTGATATTTTATTAATTCCTTCTTTTATGTGATACTTTGTTTTACAGAACTAATCTAGAAATAAGGAGTAAGTACATTATATATATATATAATATATATGTAAGTTAATAGTACATTAAGTACAGTCACATACAAGAGAGTTAAAAGACAAAACTCCTCAAATAAATCAGTAAACTCTTACCCCAGTATCTTAGCACAATCATCATAGTATTTCATAGAGTTTTTCACAAAACTGAAGCCATTCACATCACAGACGTAGGACTGTCCGTTAGCACGCAGCAAATCAAAGCCACAAACCGTTTGCTGGTTTAAGAATAAAGTTTAAGTCATTGATCACCTTCCTTATGACTGCTTACTCTAAATAAACTTTGTATTTTAACATTGTATTAATCTGAAAATATGGAGAAATATGACAAATTTTATACCCTTTGCCAGTTCCACGTTAGGTTTGCGCAGGCCATGCAGACATCTTCCTATTTTTAACTCTAACCCCAACTTGTTTTTACCATTCCTAAATATCCCTACCAATATCAGTTTGAAAGCCAAGTCTGCATGTGCCTAAACTTAACCTTCAAAATTGTATATGCACTGATGGGCCTACAAATTCCCCATCTGACAGTGGTTTCCCCCTACACATATGGGTGACAGGCAGGAAATGACAAAATACTGATAAAAACATTTTTGTCCAAATTTAAATTTGACAGGATGGTTTTGACATAGCCATAATATTGACATAGTTAGTACAAAACATTAGATGCCATTTCAGCAGATTACTTTTTAAGATCTCAAAGCTGCCTTTGCTAGATTACAGAGGTTCACACCCTCCAGGGTCTAGAATGCCATCATAGTTACACACAGGTAATGAGACAGACAGAAACACAGCCTTTTAATAAGACAAGTGAAAGGAAGGTAAGAGATTGAATAAAGTTTTGAACAAAGGCATCTTAAAACTATATAAAAATCAAAACTATCAAACACTTCAAATAAGGACCTGGTCATGTCAGTACCAAACTAACGTTTAACTGGGCCTAATGTAAACACAAAACAAACAAAAGTTACAAAAAACTTAACTACTGACATCATGTTTTGCTAACTGAGAAACCATTAACAAAACATGTGAATATATGAATAGAAGAGACACACTGTGTGTTAGCAAAGCACAATAGCAACATGTGAATTCGGGAAACTTATGCAACATAAGCAACCCATCCAGAACTTTTCAATGCATTAAAGGAAGAATTCTTCTAGATAAAAAAAGATGTGGAAGTTCATCTTTTCACCTTCCCTGGAGTTCTGCAGCAATTATCACTGCTGACTCTGTGCACTAAAACCCTATGGAAGTTTCAGGCAATAAACAATTAATTAACACTAAATGTTTGATCAGATAGGAAAGTAATCAGCTTACTTTAAAGGCAAGGCATACTTTCCAAGCAATTAACTTCTCTCTTGCATTCAGGATGACTGGATACCTCACTTCTTTTCCTTCACTATCGCGTTCTACCTTGCCATCCAGAGCTGGAGACTTCCGGGCTTCAGCATGAGCATAGTCTGGACCTACTGTGTACACCTTTATTGAAAAGCAGGAGCTCTTGATTCAATGCATTTCAACCACATTACATATATGCATACATTTTGCCAAATTTATCTCAAATGTGGTAATGACTTCAATTAAAACTAGCTGCTTTCATTGTTGAAAAGGTCACTCTAAAGTATTCCAACAGCTCCACATCCCTCCTGTGTTGTTCCCTCAAGCCTCTGCCATCATTTATTGACAACCTGGGATAAAGCAAGAGAAAATGGCTGGAGCACAGGCAATGAAAAATAATAATTATAGAACTTGATTAATAAAACTGAATTTCTTAATTATGATGGTACAGAGAAAAAACTAATTATTTTCCTCTGTAAACCATCTGCAGAACTTGGAGAGCACATTAATCTGAGAATTATTCCAGCTTAGTTGATTATGGAAATCTGGTTGCAGGACTAAGTCATTCTCTTCATTAAAAAATATTTTCATATTTTAGACAGGACTAAATAAATAAATAAAAAGATGTGCCCAGTTTAAGCATCGCAAGGCAGAGGCTTGGGGGAACAACACAGGAGGTATGTGGAGCTGTTGGAGCAAGTCCAGAGGAGGCGATGGAGATGCTGCAAGGGCTGAAGCAGCTCTGCTCTGGAGCCAGGCTGAGAGAGCTGGGCTGGTTCAGCCTGGGGAAGAGAAGGCTCCTTAAGGGGAGACCTTAGAGTAGCACCAGTGCCTCAAGGGGCTACAAGAAAGCTGGAGAGGGGCTTTTGACAAGGGTCTGTAGGGACAGGAAAGGGGGAATGACTTTAACCTGGCAGAGGTGAGACTGAGATGAGCTCTTAGGCAGAAGTTCTTCCCTGTGAGGGTGGTGAGGCCCTGGCACAGGTTGCCCAGAGAAGCTATGGCTGCCCCATCCCCGGCAGTGCTCAAGGCCAGGTTGGACACAGGGGCTTGGAGCAACCTGGTCTAGTGGAAGGTGTCCCTTCCCATGGCAGGGGGTGGAACTGGATGAACTTTAAGGTCCCATCTAGCTGAAACCATTCAATGATTCTGTGATTCTATGTTTACACAGGAAAGTATATGCTGCTCAAAGAACTTAATACAATATAAAAATGAGAAACAATGTGTTGGGTAATAAGCCTCTACCCCTTGACTCTAACAACATAAGCAGAGCTGCTCCACATTACAAGTACTGTGTTTAGTTACAGTAAAAATTATGTTCTTTACTTATGAACTGCATCAAAACTTCATCGGAAGTAATCTTTAACACAAAGCTATAACCTTTAAAACTGACAAGCTCTTGGAGCGCTCAATTGTTCTAAATATAAATGAGAACACACAGTTGTCATACCTTCACATCAGTGCCATCTGTAGGCATGAATTCCTCATAAATATAGGAGCCTGTTTTTCTCACACTGCTTTCAGGGGAATAAACACTGCTTCTGCTGCCAATCTGAAATGAGTATTTTTCTATTAATAAACTCATAGGCTTCTGCCTAACAAACTTTAAAACTCCTTAAAATAACACACTTGTACTGATAAATCACTTCCTTTAACAAATAAAGCAAATAGGCTTTGCTAGTTTCCAAACGATTTTTATAAGATTCTGAAAGTGCACAGGCTTTTTTTACCTGTAAGAATCTGCAGTGGCTGACAATGTGCTGCAAGGAACAAGGGTCTACATGTTCCCCTGACATGAATCTGATCTGCCACTGCTTCTACAAGCAGGACATGACAAAACAGGTCCCACATAACATACGGACAGGACAGAATTACTCTGCAATTCTGTTAGACTTCTACAACTTTTCAATAGTTTACTACAATAATCGCACCTTTCGAAAGAGCCTCTGGCTTCCACCTCCAGCAGATGTTGGATAATAAATGTAAACATTGTGGTCCTCAGCACTAACAGGCTTCTCTACAAAAGGCTTTTGGAAAATTTCTCCATTCACTTCCACATGATCTTCTCCTTCAATCAAATTACATTCTGAAGAAACAGTACAAACAACAGAGTTTATACTGATAGAATGAGACGATTAAGAGCTTTGGGTTAATTTTGTAGGTTGAAATAAAGAGACTGTATTGCATTTTTTTGTTTCACTGATTTGTTACTGACTGCACAAAGTGATGATCATGTGCTGAACATGTCTGCTGTACCATGCCTATATTATGTTCTAGCATTTCTCTTGATTTCTTCAGTGTCAGACAGGAAATCATCTCCTAATGATGATTAAGCGTAAGCTTACATAGGGTGGTATGCTTTTCCAAAATGTTTTGAAGACAGGAGGTAGGGCTGTTTGTCTCTTTCTTCAATGCCTTTCTTTGAAACATCAGGGAGGTAGCAGATGGACAGTGAACATGGTGCAGTGCCAGATGCAACAGCACTTTTAATAGGTTGAGAATTGTCTCCTACTCTCTGATGGATGCACCTTGCACAGATGACTAGGTCTTCTGGAATTGGGGGTCAGGATCTCTTCATTACTGGTGGGCTACATGTAGCAGCTTCCATTTGACTTTTGTAGCATAAACAAGTCCTTTTCCCCCTAGATTACGCAGACACTTTAAAGTAAATTCCCTATCTCTTATGAGCTACACCACAGTAATAGTTCTATTTTCTTCAATTTTTCTTATCTCTTTCTATTGTGGCTTGATCTGTCATTGCAATCTTCTATTGTTGATGTAAGTTTTCAGTTTAGTAGAAAAAGACACTAAGTTTCTTTTCGGGTACAGAAAAAAAATTATCATTTATATTCAGAGCATATCATCTGCAGATCTGTCTAGACTAGGTTTCCTTTACATGGTTGCTTGTACTTAGAAGGGAAAGTATTTAATAGCCAAACTTGTTTCTGTTAATATTCCTTTCCTGAGTAAAATGACTAATTACTGTGAGTAATGCTGCTCTCTTTGGTGACATACTAGAATCTCAGTTTGAGTTTGCAGGCCCTAATATTCTAGTTGTTCCATGATGGCTGTAAGAGGACTGTGACCCCAGGCTTTGGAGTCATGCTTTTCAGATGCACACTTGTATTGCCTTTGGCTGGGATGGAGTTAATTTTTTTCACAGCAGCTAGCATGGTGCTATGTTTTGAATTTGTGACCAAAACAGTCTTGATGTTTAGTTATTGCTGAACAGCCCTTATACAGACTCAAAGCCTTTTCTGTTTCACATACTGCCACCAAAGCCAGACATAGGAGCTAATGCACAATGGTAGAGAAGAAAGCAACCTCTGCACAAATGAATTGTGTAGCAGGTGAAATTTAGCTTTCTGCTATGTATGTTCTCCAGTGGAAACAAGAATATGCTAGTTGTTGATATTTCAGTCATCATTTTTTACCTTGAGGATTGTTTGGATCACGGTTCAGAACTGCATAGCGAGGAAGTAAAATGCCTTCAGCTTTAAGAATACTATAAACTTCTCTCCTGTAAGAAAAGAACAAAGGTTGCACAGTAATACAAATCCTTCCAGTATTTGTATTTTACAGCCCATGAGTAAGGCCTGTTTAATCATACAGGGTAAGATTACATGCATAATAACTTGTATTAATATAAAGCTTTAAAGGTCACTGACACAGCTGTACCTTTGCAGTGATCTCATCAGCACCAATAAAAATGTAATTTTCTATGCCAGTCCTCTCCACTCTCCCAGTGCAACAGCAATTTACACCGAGTAATTCTCTTGTTAAAGGAGGTTATGAGCATGAAGGGACAGCAACTGAAGGCATTCGAAAGAGCAAGTCTGCTCACTGTTCAGAAGGCTCCAGTGTTTATGTATTTTGCTTGCTATTGTTTTGTTAATATTTACTATGCATGACTGCAGCTCCAAAAGAAAATTCACTTTGAATAAGCACATGATCTTTGCACACTAAGAACTTCTGTTAAGTATCCACTTAACAGAAAAAAAAGACCTCTAACAAGTCACATGAATTCTACAGTTATAGGAGGCTGTAGAGTTGCTACACATACTTTCAGAGTTTAAATTTTATTTGCTAAGCTTTAGACAAATGTTATCATGAAATTCCTACCTTGATAAATCTATAGACATATGACTATAAAAGCAATAAAAGAAAAAAACCACATAAATACATATCCCAGGAAAGTATGCATACATTAATGAAGTGTAACATTCACTGTAATTTTATTTAGACTCTGTACTACACACTGCAACCGTTGCTATGCAATAACAACAGATTTGTATAGCCTCCAACTTAAAAGTAATTTGCTGCAAGTAATTAGTGTTACTTACCTGTCTTGTATGTGGTACTGCATATTCAAGTCATTGATTACGAATGGATTCCTGAGTTTTGCATAGGCAACGGCTTTGTCCAGTGGAAATCCTAAAATATTTATTAAGACAAATAAACTAAAACTGCAAGACACAACATCACTAAGTAGTTTGGAACCTTCATATCCAAGCCTTTTTTTTTCTTTTTTTTGAGTTCAACCAGAGATATGGGTTAAAAGTGGGAGGATGCTCCCTCAGCTATAGACGTAAGACATATAACATCAGCTTAAGACAATTACGAGACTACTGCCTAATTTCAGGATATGCTGCCAAAAGTAGTGGTCCTGCCTCCAATTCCCTCCTCCTCACTCCACATGCCCTCCAATTCCATAGGGCCAGAACCAAGGCTTTTATTGCCTCTGCCTAAAAGTGTGGTTTTTAGCTTCAGCCTAATACATCTTTGCTTTACAGCCCAGCCCCACAAAACCTCCTACATACGAGCAGAGATACATGAACAAGTGGCCAGAGATCCAGCACTCCTACTTAGAAAGTACCATGCCTTCACAGTTATTGGACCAAGTAAGTATTAGATCACTGTTTCCACTGGCTCCACAAATATTTACCAATGGAATAGCTATTTTAAATACCACGTCAGACAGGACTTTCTCAAGCAATGAAAACAGTGTAATTTAAAAAGTTTGTATTTTAAATGTAAATTATATTACATTAAACAAATTAATCACTTCCTAACAAAATCCAATAAAACTACGTAACAAAAAAAATATTACCCTCAAAGTGGTTAAAGTATTTAGATGTCAAAAGAAATTATGGTATTATTAGCAGATTTACCTTTAGAATGAAAAGAAATGAGACAGTCACATAAAGGCCAGTTTTCTACTGGCTCATTCAAAATAACATCTTCTTCAAATATTACCACAGTTATGTACTTAAACATGGAGAGGCGTTCAAGAATTTCTTTCATTGGTTTGGACTTAGACTTCTTAGCCATTGAACATATCCCAACTGCGATTTGTCTTTCTGGTGGCTGGAGGCAAGGGGAAGGAAAGCAGTTATTATTTTTAGGTTTTCTCAGAACACAACAAGGTTTTAGCAGCACAATACTAGAGCAGATAGTTTCTGTTAGAATTCATGCACTACCTTTAATTTAGTGTTTAATCAGATAAAGTGCTAGCAGGTAGTAAAATGCAGTATGACAGCAGTCTACAGTGCATTCTTATGAAAAATACCTCAAAAAATGAAACTGTTCAATTGCTCTACACTACTTTTTGTGAGTATTGTATCAGGGAAAAAAACCCACACAAGATCAAAATCTAAGTCAGAAATGTCAAATCTGAATACTTATGGCTTATTCTGAAATTATCCAGCAATTCATTGTTAACCTATTTAATTTTTCTACATCTACTTAGCAGCCACAAGACTTCTCATCTTATTACCTAGTATTACAAGTAAATTATGAAAAGGAAACTAGTAAACCAGAAAACACTAGATTTGAGCTATTTTTTGCATACACAGTTTCACTTTTCTTCTGTATTTTCTTTCATGTTATAATGCTTTAAAAATGTCTTCCTCTCAGTGGTATCTATAAGTGCAACAGCATTTGTTTAAAAAGAAACAAACCCACCCCCCCAATCCTTTATTTCATTTTACTGTTCTTTTTAAACATAGGCAATGCTAATTTTGCACTATTTCTCTGCATTTCCAATTTACTTTTAATCATGAAGTGTTTTACTAACGCTTGCATTTCATTTTTTTTAGACATGCTTGCCATCAGTAAAAATTTAGTCTGACTATTCCCTAAAGTGAAATGTTACAGACTAAAAAAAAAACAAAACACATCTAAAAAAATTACATGACAATTCATGCATAACTAAAAATCAGTAAACATAGTGCTAAAATACAATTCAGAACACTCTGCAAGAATAATAAACTAAGGCATAAGTTAAGACTAATTTAGCATGCACCTTCTATATACCAGGACAGAAAAAGAATGAAAATATGTCAGATCTTAATGAAAACAATAGGAAGATGAAAAAAGAAATGTTAAGTTTGTTCAAACTGAAAAATCCAAAGTTAACTCTGTGGCAGTTGACAACACACACAAAAGAAAAACTCTTGACCATTTTTTGCTACTAACTATCCAAAGAAGTAAAATTAAGGCTTATGTCATCAAGTTTATTCCCAGAATCCAAATCAAGTCTGCAAAGCTGGCATGCCCTGAAACTCGGTATTAAGGTCAAGCACATCTACTTCAAAGTCCACAGTACACTCACTTTTCAAAAGTGCTGCATTTCCAAACATAACTAACAGATCATTATCTGAATATGAACAGTTTTCCAATTTAGAACACCTTAGACTTCTGTGATTTAATGCCATTTCAAAGTAAAATAATGCTAGACAACATACAGGATAGTACACACATGCTCCAACAGTACATACAGAGTCATACTCTTCCTCCTCTTCTTCCCCATGGTCATAGAACTGTTCATAATCTGACGATCTGCCTGAATCCAGTAATCCTTCTCCATCTTCTCCACCCACGAAGAATCTAGGAGGATCATTCTCTGTTGCGTGAACAGACATGGTTACAAGATCTAGGGAGATCTATGTAGAAACTGCAGCCACTTTAGCAGCGGAGATAC